ATTTTAACAAAACACACATTCATAAATGTATTTCATACTTAATAAAATTACGATCATTAAAAGTTTATCTGCATGGTAGAAATATTTTATATTATCGAAGTAATTAATTATTTAATGTACACATACAACCCTTTCAATGTTTCCTAATAAAATGGAAACTATTACAAAATTAATAGACATATTTTTTAATTAACTCTTTTGTTAGATTATATTTTTTTTTTAAATCAATAATTTATGTATATARAATAATTTTGCAATATTGTACGAACACGTAAACAGAATAATTAACGGACGAATGAGAAATTTTCTTTACCTGGTATGTTTTGCAAATTGTTAGATTTATTTTTATGCAGAAAAAAAGTTTCTTCTTTCTTTAAATTCAGCAAAATGAGAGAGAAATATAAGTTCGAATAAAATTTCTAATTAGTAACAGTAGTAACAGTAAAATTTGCAAATTAGTAACATTTACAAAATAAAACAAATGTTAAATTAAATTTTATTTTTCAAGTATTTAACACAAAGAAAACTTTGTCAACTTATCGTAAGCATCGTAACATTGAAATGGAAAACATTTGTGAACATATTTTTTTTTTAAAAGTATTTTAATTTCAAACGAATTTTTAATAACATTAGTGTGTTTTTTTTTTTTTTTATAAACTTTTCATTCTCAAAAGAAAAAGAAAAAGAAAGAAAAAGAGAGAGAGAGAGAGAGAGAGAGAGAGAGAGAAATCAGTTTTTAATTAACATTAAAGATATTTTTACTTACTTACGTTGTTTGATACAATTGAAAATTAGATTTTGCAAATTAAAATGAATATTTATCATCAAGTATGATGCAATCGCGTGTGATATATTGATAAAAGAACGTAACGAAGTAAAATCACATTTTCGCGATTAAATTAACTATAATACTTTGTTCACCGCAATGAAATTTCCCATGGGTCGATGAATGAGCGTAAACTAACGTTGGATATCACGTTGAATCCAACGATTTGGTTTTGTGTTAATTTTTTTTCATTATTTTATTTTTTATTTTATTTTTTTTTTTATTTTTCTTTCCATTTTTCTTTTTTTTTTTTTAATCGGAAAATTAACACGCGAATTTCCGTTTTTTTCCTTTTTTTTTTTTTATGTATTGTTGTTCATCAATTTTTTTTACAAATACAGTACGCGTTTAAAAAAGAAATAATATAATTATTTTATAAAATGAAAAAGATAGAAAGAGTGTACACGCAGACACACATACACATACAAATACACGTTTCGAATCTTAAATGGATTTTTATTACCCGCATGAGTTTTGAATTTTTTGATTTCTTCAATTTTCCACGAACCCAACTGTCAATTATGAATAACGTGTTGCGCGTGTATATTCGATTTGGTGTTTAAAATCGATGAATAAATTTTTTTAATTATTTCTATTCACCTAAGTAATCAATTTTGTTAAAAGCACCTGCATTTTTGATCAAATGATTATTACGAATTCAGTAGAAACGAATTACGCGTATGTAACTTGTAAATTCGTATATGTTGAATTAAATATTTCGAAATGAATATACTTTTTTTATTTTTTGTTGTTTCATGAATTTATCGTTGAATATCTGTAACAATTTGTATCATTTGATTTTTGATCTTATATAAAATTTATATTTAACTATACATTTATATATATATATATAATATGTGTCTGCATATTATTTAATATAATATATTTTTATTAAATTTATATTAAATAATAAATATTAAAATTTAATACAATATCTTTTTAATAAAATTTGTATTTAATAGTATATATTTTATTATTTCTTATATATTATATATTATTAATATATTATATATTATTAAATTAAATACAATATATTATATATTATTTAATATATAATATATTTTTAATAAATTTATATTAAATAATTAAATATTAAAATTTAATATAATATATTTTTAGTAAATTTGTATTCAATAGTATATATATTATTATTTATATTATTATCTATTATATATTATATATTATTAATATATTATATTATTAAAATAAATATAATATATTATATATTATTTAATATAATATATAATATATTTTATATATAATTATATAATATATTATATATAAAATTTAATATATNTATAATATATAATATATTTTATATATAATTATATAATATATTATATATAAAATTTAATATATTAATATTAAAATTTAATGTAATATATTGTTAGTACATTTATATTTTAATAGTATATATTATTATTTATATTATTATTATTTATTATATATTATATATTATTAAATTAAATATATATCATATTATATTGAGTAATACATATTTATATGGTTATATATTATTAAATTAAATATAATATATTATATTAAATATAATATATTACATTAAATAATATATAGTATATATATATATATATGTATATATGGTTTTATCTGTAGAAAAGTTAGACACGAATATCGACCAGCAGTTACAGCAGCAACAGGGTATAACGTTGGACCACATTGTAAGCACATGGACTACTTCTAGATTGTCTCAAACGATCACAAATATTAGTATAGGCAGTTAAATGAACTAGACCATTGGTTGTTACATTCATCATTTATCGATTACATCCAAATATAATATAAGAATAACGCGAAGATAATTAATAAACATTAAATATAATATTATGATCTCAACGAAATAATCGATCATATGAAATACAATATTATTAAACAAAACGAAATAATGTTATCAAAGATTTTGTGCATTTAAAAAACAATGTAACGTTTTCATAGATCAATGTTCGAAGAAATAATTGAATTTTGTCAAAGTATGTGTTACAATTTGTTAGATGAAAAGATAACTTTGATAAGTTTACTTTCAAATATTAGATCGTAATGATAATACGATTATATTATATATATATATTTTTTAAGTAATTCTTAATAAATGATAAATGTTTATCGTAAGTAATTGAGAAAATTTCTAGGTTAAAAAAAAAAAGATCGAATTTTTGTCGATATAAATCGATAAATACTACCCGATACTTCCCCTTTAGGCTTTCATTAGAAAATGGGTGAAATCAATCGCACACATTGAGGTGTTACTTACTCCGGTATAAATGGCACAAGCGTAACTCCCTCTGCGTACTGATTGCCAGCAACAACAGGATTGCATGATAGCCATGCTTCGTTAATAATAATAACAAAAAAAAAAAAAATGATAAAAAAAGAACACAAAATTAAATAAAAAAACCCGAGTAAAATTTTAGAAAATTTACAGTTCGAACGATATTTAAAATAATGAATACCATATGAGAATAGTAATCAGAAATACAAAATGATTTTTAAAATGAATTTAACACGAATTGTTAGTTTAAACAATTTTTTTTGGTTTGTTGTTAAAATTTTTACAATCCTTTTTGTTATCCTTTATTATTATTATTATTATTATTATTATTATTATTATTATTATTATTATTTTTAGTTTTTTTTGCAATTTATATTAGACTTTTGAATTTTATGTAAGAAAATTTGGTGTTCGATTATTTAATTTAATTTTTATTTTTAGTTTTATTTTTAATTTTTAATTTTATTTTTAATTTTACGATACGAGATTCAAAGATATTTTTTTTGTTTTTTTTTTTTGGATTTATGAAATATTAATTATATTCGAAGATGATAGAGTGTAGAATGAGAGAGGACGATTGTTCATCATTTCGTCCATCATCCTCGCGAAAGAACGCGCAAGCGGAGCGGAAACCGCGGCTCAACGCTGACTGCGTTCCTCCTCGTCTTCGTTGAATTTCGCGTGTCGAGTTCCTGCGGTGAAGAACACCATCGAGGTCGGCCGCATGCGCGATACGAGATTTCTATTGAAACTAATGACATAAAGAGAGAATGCAAGAGAGAAAAATAAAAAGTAAGAAAGATAGGATGATAGAAAGATAGAAACAAAAATAGTTTATAATAACTATAAGATAGTTTAATAACTATCTCTATTTTATTAAATTAATTTATTACAAATAATTATTATTAATCACAAAGAATTTGTATTATTAATATTTAATCTTAAATAATTCAATAATAATATCCACAGTTTTTTAAATTAAATTACATTTATTATATATATATATATATACTATATACTAAAATAATTATGATTTATTATAAGGAATTTCTCTATTACTAATATATAATATTAAATAATTGATTAATAATATCCCTATATATATATAATATTTATTTTATATTAAATTTTATATTTAACTTTATTTTATATATATATATATATATGTATATAGTTAATATATATATATAATATTAATATATATAGTTAAATATATATAATTATAATATATTAATAAATATATTAAAATAATTATAATTAATTATAAAGAATTTCTAGTACTAATATTTAATCTTAAATGGTGGAATTATATAATAAATTATATAATATTTAATGTATATATTAAAGTAATTATTATTAATTATAAAGGATTTTTATTATTAATATTTTAATCTGAAATAGTTAAAATAAATTAATTAATATCTTAATTTTTTAATTACATATATATTATTTATCTTAAAGAAAGTGATAATAATTAAACTAAATACTATTCCAATATAATTGTTAATAACAATATTATATTCAGTATGATAGTAAATATTACATGAAAATACAATAGTAAAACTTTGTATTAAGTTTGACATTATGATTATTCTATGTTTTACCTTTAAGGGTCTCTATAATGCATTGTTACTATTAAGTGAAGTAGTTCATCCTATATAATACTATTCGATACTACACTTGGTAGCATGTTCTTTAGTGATCATTTGTCACGTCACACCTCAAACATTTCTAACACAACTAACGACATGATATATTCTCGATATACTAATCAAGAGTACTATAGTTTTTCCTAACTATATATTTAACATTAATAGGAAACGTGATATTCTCTTGGGTTTTCCTAGTTTCAAAGGGTCTTTTAATATATTCAGTTATAAAGAATGTTATACACGAAAAAATTTAAGTATTTATTCATATATTTCAATATTTATATATTTATTATTATATAATATAATAATATAATAAATATATAATGTAATAATATAATAATTATCTAAAATAATATAATTATAAATATTTATAATTATTAAATATAGTAATATAATAATAATAATATAATAATAATAATAATAATAATAATAATAATAATAATAATAATAATAATAATAATGAAGATAAATAGTAAAATATTAAATCAAACAAACTTAATAAATAAATAACTTAACTTAATAAATCAATAATACAATAATATAATTATAAATATTTATATTTATATATATAAATATATATAAATATTTATATTTATTATATAAAATATATAATAAAACGAGATTATGTATTTGTGTTTTTTATTTGAGTTTATTCGAGCTAAGGGAATGACAATGTTAAGGTGACTTTTAAAAAACTTTAAGGTCAAACTTTACATCACGTTTAGGATTGAAGTTAGAAATTCAATGTATTAAATTTACACATCCTTGGAAAAGTTACATCGAAAAGGGGGTAAGAAAAGTTTAATGGTAATCAACATTGTGTATTAGAAGTTGTCTAATTAATAACCTTGCCAGAAGAAAATCCCTTCCAAGGGAATACGTGACGTCACATTAGCCTACATTGGCTACTTTATACCACGCATACATTGGCGTCACATGTCATGTGTGTTATATCTTATGACACGTTGTCGTGTGTCTCTAACCTAACCCAACCCTGACAAACTACTCCTACTACTCTCTTTTCCGTTTTATTATTAGTGCTATCCAATTTTTTTTACCTTTTTCTTTTTTCTATATGTTATAACGCCATTTTATAATTAATATTATAGGGTAACTTTGAGTTTATTTCATTTGGAATTTGAGATTTTATATTTAACGTTATTATTTTTTATGTTATTACTTTTATGATAATTATTGTCAGATTTGATTGATATTAATTTTTTTTTTTTACTATTTATGGTTATTATTTTTTATTTAATTAATTTTATGATAATTATTATCAAGTTTGTTTGATTTTATTTTTTTACTATTTATGGTTATTATTTTTTATTCCATTAATTTTATGATATTTATTATCGTGTTTGTTTGATTTTATTTTTTACTATTTGACGTTATTATTTTTTACTTAATTAATTTTGTAATTATTATCAAATCTGTTTGATTTAATATTTTACTATTTGACGTTGTTATTTTTTATTCCATTAATTTTATGATAATTATTATCAAGTTTGTTTGATTTAATATTTTACTATTTAACTTTATTATTTTTTATTCAATTAATTTTATTATCAAATTTATTAAATATAATATACATATATACATAGTTTTATTACAGTAATAATTTATTATTTAATATATGGGTAAAGTTTTCTATTTTTTATTAGAGTTGAAGTTAATTTTAAACATAATAAAAGTATATAATAAAATGTTGATCTCTAGTTAGTTAGATGGCTAGAACTATAAAACAAATTGTTCCTATTAAATTTTCTACTTTTACTTTCTTCTTTTAACAATAAACTAAAAACGTCAAAACGCCAAATGCCAACCGACGAATGATCCTTATCTGATCCTATCCTATACATGCAAAAGACGAGGTTTAACTTTGAATAGGTACTTTCAACATAAAAAAAAAAAAAAAAAAAAAAAAAAATAAAAATGAACAACAATTTTTAAAGTGAAACAACTTGAAAGAAAAAAAAAGAAGAAAGAAAGATGAGCAAAAATTTGGAGTTTTTTAAGGAAATGGTTTGTAAAATGTTAGAGATTTCGTTTCTTTTTTTTTTTTCTTTCGAAAAATTTATCCCCCAAAAAAAAGAAACAAATGATAGAGAGAGAGATAGAAGAAAAGCAATAGAAAAAAAAAAGAAAGATGAATAAATAGAGACAAAGAGAAGAAAAAAGAAAAAAAGTACACATATTCCTCAGAGCTTTTATCGTATGCGATGTAAAGGAACGCGTTTTGGAGCTTTGGAATAAATTTACTACTTGTTCCACCCCTAAAGATAGCACTCATGTTCGAAGAATAAATAAGTGATGGCACGCTCAAATTTGTGAGATAAATAGAACCCTTCTTCTCTTCTTTTTTCTCTCGAAGGGTTCGCCAATTTTCTTCAACCTTTCTTTTCTGCACCATCATCTATATATATACATATATATGTAGATATATATATATACATATTACATGTAGATGGGTACCATGATAGAAATTTTGAAACGTCATTGAGATTGGGATTCGGATAAATCGAATTGTGAGTACACGTATATATACATAAATATATATATATTATTATATTATATAGTATAAATTATTCTTATTATATATAGTATTTTTATATTATTAATAAAGAATTAATAATATAAATACTGATAATATAATACTAATAATATAATATTAATAATAAAAAACACTACTAATAATAAATAAATAATATATAATTATATTATATATATAGTATTTATATTATTATTATATAGTATAAATAAGTATAGTATTAATAATAGTATTACTAGTAGTATAATATTATATTATTAGTATAAATAAATATAGTACATATATTATTTTATAGTATATACATATATGCATTTATTACATAGTAGATGTAGATATAAGAGATTTATGAAAAAAATATCGGATGTATGTGGAACGAACTGTAAAAAAAAAAAAGAAACCTTTTAACGTAAATAACACTTTATCGATAATCGAATAACAGGAAGATGTGCAAGCATCAATTGAATTGCATTTACAGCTACTATTATATTTTCAATGTCATTTTGAACGTTTGGTGTTGTTATCCCGTATAAATGTCTGAAATATATCCCAAGGAAGATAGAAAGAGACACAAAGAGTGAGAAAGAGAGAGAGAGAGAGGGAGAGAGGGAGAGAGAGAGAGAAACAGAGTGGAAGAGACAGATTTCAGTCCAACAACACAACTGTGGACAATGTAATCAAGGTATAAATCAATTACAGTACTTCAGATGAGCTTATACTCATGTACAATCCACCCATCTACTGTTGGTTGTTTTCCTTCCAGTCCATATGCTGCAAACGTGCTTCTCGTGTATGTATATGTAGGGGTTTGTGTCTCGTCTACTCAAAATCATTGACTTTTCCACCCTATCCTTAAAATTAAACTTCGTGACTATAATATTTAAATAAGATTTTATTCAAATTTTTTGATCATCGATATTCATCTAATATATTCATTTCTCTCTTTAAAGTGAAAATTTCTTTAGAATGGATGTGATTTGGAAAAAATGAAACGGACGATATAATGGGGGGGAAAGAAATGGCCTTAATACTAAGTAAGAAATCGTCTCATTCTCTCGAAACTTATGTTAGTTTTTTGAAGGTTTCACTTTTAACACGTGTGATCTGCACACATGATTTTTTTATTTTTATTTCATATAAAATACTAAATATTGTTCTAAAAATATGCATAAATTAATTACAATATTGGAGTTCAATTCTTATATCATTAATTATAAAAATATTTGATTTGCAAACATTTTTTCAAGTGTTTTATTATTTACTTTCTTTGTAATTATTATAAAAATGTGCGCCTGTACGAATGCAACCCTCCAGACACACTTTGAAAACGTTGCTTGCGAGCGTCATCTCTTGGGACGTAATTTTTTTTCTGCCCAAAAGATAGGCAACCCGTCATACATAGGTGTATGAACAGTTTTGACTGCAAAAAAATTCCGTCCCAGTAGATGGTGCTCGCAAGCAACATTTTCAAAGTGTGTCTGGTGGGTTGCATTAATACAGGCGCACATTTTTATAATTAAATTACTAATTAAATAAATAATTACAAATTAAAAGTACAAATAATATTATAATAATATTACATAATAAATTATCCTCGAAACTTGTTTATTATTCTACAATGTTCATAAATAAATAAATAATATAAGCTTTGAATAAAATCTTTGATCAAATAATTTATTATTATATTCAATGTATTTGTTTTTTTGTTTTTTTTTTCTTTAAATGTAATTAGACTATTAGTTTTGAGTAATTAGAATATTAGTAAAAGTTAATTAGTCCTTGATACGATTTATCTCTCTCTTTATTTTAAAAGTAACTTTTTGGTGAGATATAAACGGTGGAGTTTCATTTTAGTTCAACAAACTTTCGTACAATGGAAATTCGATCACTCATACCATTGTACTGTGTTAATTGTTTCCTGCGGACCAATAACCATCGTACTATATATATATATATATATTGGTTTTTATTAAAATCGTTACAAATAACCTTGTGGACAAGTTTAATAGTCACGATGAATACGAATGAATTTCATTTGAACTTATCTGTAATTATTTTAACAGTCATTCGTTGAAAGATTACATTGCTGAAAAAAAAACATGGGAAATATTTGGTATTGTATGTTTATTATATTATTTTGAAAACAAAAGTAATTTTGTTTTAAATTCAATAATTATTTCTAATTTCATTGACTGATACTTAATCTTAATTTAAATCTATCATTTATTTCACATTATAGAAACAAACACTTTATAATATGATTTTAAGTATTTTGTTTTTAAAATGAAAAATTATAGTCAACATTTTGCTAATTTTTTTTTTTTCTCTAAATTCAACCATTAACGATTTTAAATGATGAATTTTGAAATGAATTTTAAATATGAAAATCTCGTTCTTTTTTATTTATCTTTGAAAAAAAACAAACAAAATTACTTTAAAAACTTTTACATTTTTTATATTTTGAGAATTTTATTTAATATCGTATTACTTGATTTAACATTTTGATTCTAATTCATATATTATACGTCTAAGTAATAATCTTAATATTTAAATGATTATAATTACATAATGCACCATACATAGATAATTATTGCAATTAATATTATATAACATATATATTTATGATATAATAATATTAAATAACCGAGTGTATAAACAGTTATTGTTCACTATTACTTAATATAAAATAGTATTCTAATCATCTCTTAATTAATTAATTCATTATTTATAAGTGTACGTAAACTAATATATTATAATTGTACTAAACGAATGTATAGGAAGAGTATCAATACGAGTATCTCATTATATAATTATACTTATCATTATATAATAATACAAATGTTGACAAAAGTATTGCAAATAAAATTAGGAACTAAAGTACATAAATAGTAGCACCTTGATTAGGTTCAGTTGGAAATACCGAATCCTCCAAGTCAAGTCCGTTGGTTGTACAACTTTCAGAGAGATATTTTCGAATTTTCTCAACGAATTGAGAAATGTTGTCCTTCAAAATGATTGCTACTATACATCCTCCCCATCTATTGTAATATAAATGATATATGCATTACGTAATACAAATCTTTTATGCTATACCACGTCTAAATAATATATTTTTGTGAAATAAATAAAATATTTTTATATTAAATTTATATTTTTATTTATATTTAATATATACTAAATTATAATATATATATATATATATATATA